ACAGGCACCAAGCCAAATTTTTTTTTTTTTTAAGAGATAGTTTCACTTCATCTCCCTCGATAGAGTGCTTTGGCATCACAGCTCACAACAACCTCCAATTCCTGGGCTTAGGCGATTCTCTTGCCTCAGCCTCAGCTGGGACTACAGGCACCCGCCACAATGCCTGGCTATTTTTTTGTTGAAGTTTGGCCAGGACCGGGCTCAAACCCGCCACCCTCGATATATGGGGCCAGTGCCTACCCACTGAGCCATAGGTGCCGCCTTCTGTATTGGTGTTTTTATTTGTGTTATTTTTTATTTTTTGTTTTCCCCCCCCAAATATTTTCTATCTCTAGTTGGTTGAATTTGGGGTGCAGAGCCATGGATATGGAAGGCTGCCTGTACTTAGAATTTACTAATGCCATGAAGCAGTCTAGTGGCTTATATATGAAATATTTGCAGTGTTAGTGTCTTTAAAAAAATCGCGTGTGATTAAGTATGAAAGACTGGGACATTGGTGATCTATGGTCTATGAAAATTAGGTTAACTTAAGGAGGTTAGCTATGGAGTTTCTACTGTAATTTCAAACTTAAAGGAGAGCAGCTAAAGTTACAGAAAGGACTCTGTGTATCATCTTCATTCAGATCCACCAATTAACATTTTGCCACATTTAATTGATCATTCCGTCTCTTGCTTGGCTCAATTTCTTTCTCTGCCATTTGAGAGTATGCTATAGACATTGTGTTCTCTCCCAAAATACCACAGTATATATCAATATTTCCTAAGAAATAACAGGTCATTTTTAGACTAGAAATGAATTTGACACACAGATGTTAATAATAATCAAAAGAGATGTATGTCTAAAATTTAATGTATTTAAAAGCAGTCTCCTCAGGTATTTTATTGAATGTCTCCTGTGGGCCTAACACTATGCAAACACTTGGGGATAATAGAAAAAATAAAGAATCAGTGTAAGTCTTACAGACCTTAAAATAAGTAAGATGTTCTATAGACTATGAAACAACGTAAGGTGGTATTCAATTAAATAACTTTTGAGGCAAAAGAAAACATGAGAAAGAGTTGCATAGGGGAGTTTCATGGAAGAAATGGATTTGTTATCTAGATAGGGAGTTGTTGGTCATAATTGAAGATGAAAGTAAAACAGTTGTACATTGAAAGCCTCAGAGAGAAAGACATTGAGAGAGAGAGACTAAGAATAAAACAGAATTCCAAGGAATCTTGAGAGAAGTTGAGGATTAAGCCTTCATTCCAGTGGACAGAAATTAGGCAGAGACTGAAAATGGAGCCTTTGGAATGATTTTTATTTATTTATATGAAAAAATGTTTTATACTGATAACCAGAGAAACAGAATGGAATAATTTATAAAAGGACCAGGATGGTGTACTGTAACTAAGTGCTAATGGACAGGCTTATGAGTGTTAATAAGGGCCAACAGTGTCGAATTTTATAATGCGAAACATATGAAAAAGAAGGCTATCTAAGAGGCAATATAGGCTCAGCGCCTTTCGCTTAGTGGCTAGGGTGCCAGCCACATACACTGGAGGTAGCGGGTTCGAACCCGGCCGAGGCCTGCAAACAACAATGACAACTACAACCAAAATATAGCCAGATGTTGCGGTGGGCACCTGTAGTCCCAGCTACTTGGGAGGCTGAGGCCAGAGAATTGCTTAAGCCCAAGAGTTGGAGATTTCTGTGAGCTGTGACACGACGGCACTCTACGCAGGATGACATAGTAAGACTCTGTCTCAAAAAAAAGAGGCAGTATAGCAAAGTAGTTGGTGGGCATTCTGGAATCAGACTCTGGTTTTAAATCTACCTGCTGGCTGGGCTTTGTGATAACTGAAAGTCAGTCAGCCTCATTACAGGCACTTAGTTCCTTAACCTGTAAAGTGGGAATAGTAGCACTAGCATTTAATATTAGGAATATACGTGAAAGTACATGGCCTATCATATTCCAAGTATTCAATAAATATGAGTTTTCTTGCTCATTTCCCCAGTTTGTTAGTTTCCTTTCCTTTCCTTATCTCCCACATAAACTTCTTCCTGAAATTTCTTTTTTTTTTTTTTTTTTTTTTTTGAGACAGAGTGTTATTCTGTCCCCTTCGCTAGAGTGCTCTGGTGTCAGCTCACAGCAACTTCCAACTCTTGGGCTTAAGTGATTCTCTGGCCT